GTTTCCGTCGAATTTCGAAGCCAGGCCGCCGGGTCCAAACTCGAATAGGTGAGGTACACCCGTAGAGCCCTTTGGACAACGGGGTGCTTTGCTCTCGGGCGTCGTCGTTTACAGAAGACACGGCCAGGTCAGAAATCACCTAGCGCAATTATCTTCGAGTACAATTAACCCTTTGACGAGACGAGTTTCGTGCAACTGTTTGTGATTTACGGTTCCCTGACCCTTTAGCCGGTCTCGTCTCGTGGACGCGCGATTCTGCGAAAACGGCAATTATCACAGGGCTGTCTCCTGCCGTGGAGACGTACAATTAACACCGCGGGTTGCTCGGGGACGTCTCATCGCCGTTTTGTCGACCGAGAAAAATCAGAATCTCGACCGTTTCGACCGTCTCGCTCCGTTTCCCAGCCCTGAACGACCGACTCTTCCCTTCCGTCGGTGACGGTCCACGGGCGATTCTTCTCTCCAGCGTTATAAAGTTGCCGTTGTAAATATGTCGGCGAATTCACGGTGGAGATTTGATTCGAAATCGCGGCGAAGATTTACGGACGTTACACGGAGGCTTGCCGTGACGAATTCGCGGGTTCTGGAGCAACATTTTCAAACGTCTTTAAATACACTCGGACCTGTTACGTGGCCTCTCGGCCGGTGTTCTCGTGAAAACACGAGTTTCAAGTGACAGGAAATTCCGCGTGGAGACGGAATCGCAGGAAGGAGTTTCAAGCAGAAGAGAAGCTTGCGAGAGAACCGAAGTTCCGAGAACAGCAGCATCCTAAGCAACATGCTGCATAAATAAATCCGGCATACGGAGTAGACGGAAACTGACGGAAATTAAAAACCGAACAGCGGATGAATAGAGGCTCGAAAGAGAATTCCGGGAACAGAAGACGGCGACGCCGAGGGACTCCGTGTAAAATGTTGCACGGACCGGAATTCGGGGTAAGCTAAGAATCTACGAAAATCACAATATTAGTACGCTAGTTGCTGTGGTTGGCGTCTGTGACGATCGTCCGAGCTTTCAGAAGATATTTAGAAACTTGTTTAACTGCATTAGGCGCTATTCACTGGATATTTACAGACTTATATATTTATACAGTTGGATCCCCGTAATAGTTAAAATCTCAAATCAAAGACGAACCAAAATGGTCTAGAATTCTAAGCATTAGGACTTATGAAAAGTCGCAATTACAAGCAAAGCAGAATCCAAAAGAGTCGAGAAGTCCAGGCAGTAGGACAACTAGATCCAAAGAAGTCTAGAATCGAAAGCACCAGAACGCCAAAAAATTCAAAATCACAAGCAAAGCAGAATCCAATAAAGTCCAGATTAATTCTAGGCAGTATGACTATAAAAAAAGACACGAATCCCCAGAGCACCGAAGAATCCAAAGAAGTCCAGAATTCTAAGCAATCAGATCCCCATATGCAAAGGCACAAAAAGAAGCGAAACAAACATCGTGGGGGAACTGGCTTCACGGGCAGACCTCCGACTTGACCTCACCGAGCCAGCCTCGGGACCGCCATATTTGAGAGTCCCAGCCTCCGTCAGGAATCGGCCGCTACCGTTCGGGAAACCCGTAATCCCGTACGGTCCCCGTGGCCGTGCTAGGCCTAGGAAGTCGAGAGGCTCGGGAAAGGAGGCTTTGGTTTTCGTAGTCCGTTTGGGAGGCCCCGTCGAATGGGGCTTCGGCCTTCGCTCTTTCTCGCTCTATCTCTCTCTGTCGAGAAAGAGGCCCCGCGCGCGACGGAGAGAGCACGCACGGGGCCGGCCGCGACGGAGAGGGACAACGAAGGAAAGGGCCCCCCGCGCCTTACAATGCAGCCTGATTTATGGCCCGGGCGCACATACATAGAGTTACACACGATATCATAATACCATTAATTCTTCGTCAAATTCCCCGCTGACTGAATCATACTGGCCGCGCAGTAAATCACGCGGGGCGACTAATGTGAACGCGACCAGCGCTCCGCTGTCTTATCTCCTCTTTGAACCACGGGGGCAGGTGGATCCCAGACCCTTGGACTCAGCTGAATTACTCTTTGGTCCACGACTCCTCCCCACCTTCGTGTCCACCCTCTCCCTTGTCCCCCAAACCCCCCTTTAGCTTGCGTGTCGTCGCAGCTGAACGCGCGCGGCACTCTATTTGTCTCCTCTCGTTTCCGTATTTTTATAGCCCGGTGGAAGTTATAGGCCGACGGATCCACCGGAGCCGATTTCACGAGGGCACTACCGCGAGCCACTTGTCCGGTCTGAACGTTTACGTAATCGCTACTCGAACGTGGATCGGCCCCGCTGTGACGTTATACCGTCCACGAGAGGCGTGGGCGTGCTCGGGCGATGGCTATTCGATGCCTGGATTACTGTTCTCTGTCTCTGTTTTTTTGTATACAGCTTACTTTTTTTTACCGAGCAAGTGACAAGCTCTTAATGAATTGGGTATTTTGTAATGGGGTGTCGCGTTGTTTGGACGCCTCGTGGGTGTGGGTCTCTTGGTGGTCTTTCTGGAAGGTTTCGAGGAAACTTTTCGGATTCCTTTTCGTTTGATGCCTGGTCACTTGAGATTACGTAACTGTTTGTTGAAATCGGCGAACGAGGAAAAGTGTCATGGGTGGTAGACGGGTTTGTGTTTGATATACTCTTTCTCTGAGATTGTAGCAGAATTGAGAACTGATTAGAGGAACTTGTCAATCTATAGGTACATTGCAACGCGTAGAAGACATTCTTTGCATATTTATTTCAAAGTTTATATGACACAAAGGATTACTGAAGGATACATCACGGTTGGGTTACATTAACCCTGCTACTGTCTGCGGGTCTACTTCGACCCAATCAGGTTTTCGTTTATTTAACACTGTTACGACTTTACACACTTTTTCGACGTAATCTTAATCTCGACTCTTGAGAAATCTGTAAGGAAATTGTTACTGATTTCTGTGTTTGTCTTTCCTTGCCACTGCTTGGAATGTATAAGTGGACTGTAGCAAGATTAATAGAAGACAGTACGCGGGCTAAAGTATTGGGTATTAGCAAATCTCAATATTTCATCTCTACAGTCGCGACAGTATTGTTATTCTCGTAAAAATATTGAAAGGAATAATTTTGGTTTTCTTCTTCAGAAGATTTCAAACAGGTTTTGTATAATGGAAGTTGACCTTCGGATGTTAATAAAATGGCAAGCTTTTTATAGTAACTCAAAATGATAACAACAGAAACTAGTTATGAAAAATAGCTTCCGTAAGAAACAGTGGATCTGAAAGACTAAATTCGTGTTTCCCTACTTTTAATAACCTTCATATTTTGGATTTTCCATCCTAATTAAAATCACTAATATCATCGATAGATCATCAGTCATAAATCAAATCAACTACTGAGATTCACTAGAATTTTTTGGAGTAATGTTATACCTTGAAATCCATTACAAATAAAGATAGTAACAAAATGATCGTCAAGCGATACACTTACTGAAATTCAGTGAACTCAACCAAATCAATATTCTTTCAACAATGTCTAACTTTTCACTGATAGATCAACCTACAACAGAGCTCAGATTGCCCATCAGTTTCAGAACTTCTCGCGATTCCAGCAACAGTAACACAATATTCAGGTAATTCCCGGCCACTTTCGAACAACCTGTGCTGTCTTATCGATTATTTTTCTGCTATTCTTGCGCTCGTCCCTGGACGTCAGCCGCGCCGCGATAACGTGAAACATTTACGAGCCGCGGACTAACCGAGCCGCAAATTGTTCTAAATCGTTCGCCGATAAATTCGTTTACCGTGTAATTTGTTATCGAAGGTCAAGAACCGACGAAAAGGATCACGGGATCCTCGAATCACAGACACCAACCAGAGTGGGAAGGATTTGATTTACGCTCTCCGGTCACTTCGATTCTCCGCCCACTGATCGATCAAAATCGGCGTGAAAGCCTTCGTAAAAGTCGCAAATCCATTCGAAACGATCCCCAAATTCGGCCCGGTGGGGGCCTTTCGGTTCTCGCGACATAATGAACGAGCGCGTGGATCGCTATCTGCGGCGAGTATCGAAATTTATAAATCGCGCCGTTAATATTTCAGCCGTGATTTAGCGAAGCTAAGGAGGCGAACCGCCGCCGCGGAGTAATCATGATTATTAACACCGGTAATTCCACATTCCTGTTATGACACACTGGCACAAATTTTCGTGGCGCTAATCTACAAATCACCGCTAACTTTTACGAGCCGGCGATATTTCTTTCGTTCATTTCCATGATGACTTATCGCCGAGCCCGCGATTTACGGCCCTACCATCGGACGAATGGTCTCTACGCACCGAGAGGAACGATTTTACGGTTCTTCTTGCCGGTATAATTCCTTTACGTGGATGTGTCTCGCCGCGTACGACCGGAATCTCGAAGGCCCAGGACTTTCCGTCTTCGAGGAAACACGAGAACCCGGGACTCACGGAAATCCGAACTTTTTGTCCGAGGGAGGACAATCGGGGGCCACGGAGGATCACACGGAACACGTGTACGCGTCGTGGGAGGTTAGCAGCGAGGAAGGTTGCAAGAAAAATGTGGCTTCGCAAACATCCAAGCGGAAACATCACGTGAATACGGGTCCCTTTATGCGATATTCTACCTCCAGGATACGATGACCGTTTCAGTGGCAAGGCCGGAAGAACGATTACGGTAATGGTACCAGGAAAGTGTGACACGGTGGTCACTCTGTTTCGTATCAAAGTGTAACAACGAAATCCAGAGAAGGAATTGACTCCACTTAGACTCAATTACCACGAGACAATCCCAATCGGAATTCATCGTTCCTTTCGAACGTAATACTACCACCATTAAAAACCCCCGGGAACCTCTTTCCAATCGGGGATCACCTGTGCGCGAACCGTTCAACGACCCCGGGTGAGGGGTACGCTGCCTAGCCACGCGTTGGTAACCCTCAATTAAACGCAATCTCCGCGGGATCAGCAGAAGAATGGGAGAGGGGAATCGAAAGAAGATAGAGAGTCGACTTACTCTGTCCGATGTGCACCCTCTTCATCCACGGGTATATCTGCGGTGGATTGCTACCGGTGGCGTTCGACTTGTTCGACGAGTTGTTCCCGGTGCTGGACGTGCTGGAGGTCGAGGACGCCGGCGACGAAGCTGACGAGGCTGTGGTCAACGTTGAACTTCCTTCTGGGCCTGGTCTGGAGCTTCCGCTCGGCGGTGAGGCGGCTGACGCGGCCACCGATGACCTCGAGGAGCTTCCAGGCGGCGAGGTTAGACCTGACGCGGCTTTGCTGGTGCCTGGCGCGACCAGAGGCGTGGGACTGTTCCTGGACGTGGACGTGGTCAGATCTTGGGGCGACGCTACGCTGGTGGAGGACGTCGAGTCGGCGTACTTGCAGCTCGACGTGGACGGTGCCGTGGGCGCTGATGCCGCCTGGAGAAGCGGCGTCGTCGGGTCCTGGTGCTGCAGCTGTTGCTGGGGATGATGCGGTGGCGGATGATGCTGCGATTGTTGCGCGTGCAAACTGTGCTGTTGCGACGTGGCGGTCGCGCTGAGCCTTGGCTGCGGTTGCAATTGCGTGTAGTCGATCATACCAGTGGGCGCGGTGTGCTGCATCCCGGACGCAGGTGTCGCGTAAGGATGCTGAGGATAATGCTGCTGAGGGGAGTAACAGGGCGTCGGGTAACTCGTCGCCGCTGCATTCGGATTGTAATAGTCCCCGCCTGCTGGCGAAGCCGCCTGCATCGGTTCACCAGGGGAATTCGCGGTGGCGCGTGGCTGTTGCTGCGGCTGTTGTCCCGCGTAGCACGACGCCAGCGAGTTTACGAACTGATAGGAACTCATTGTCCACGCGGTTGCACCCGACAACGACGACGTCACTCTACCGAACGGTCCTCCTCCGCACGTGTACGTTTCGACATTCACGGGAACAACACCACCGATCCTGCGCCCCGTCGATCCCCTCGGATCGGTCGTTTTCGGACCTGTCACCGCACTGTCGTTAAGTACTAGATCGTGTCATCCTGTCGGCGGTCCCGCGATATCGGTCGCATATCACACTTCTGTTGTTGCTTCGTTACCCGGGGCTACAAACACACTGCGCGACCACGACGGCGAATCAGGGAGATTAATAGGGGACTCGTGCTCTCACCGTTTTCTCCCTTGTTCGTCCGACGGGACCGACGGAGCGTTCACACCTATCGCGCGTCGGGTCGTTACACGCGGATAAACACACCGTTCCTAAACGACTCGATAATGAACGCGATGGGGGATGTCCGTGGTTACGAATAGAAGGAGAGGCACGGTTGCAGGCGGGATCAGAAGTCTGAGGCCTGACCTGTGCCGCCGAGTCGAGTTTACGAGGGCCACGTGGGCCCGGGGCTATAAAACTGTCTTCTGCTTCTTTACGACCCCACGAGGCCGCAATTACCTACAGAGAACTCGCGGTGGCAGCGTGCAGTAGCGCGTAACAGCCGGCTTATCGGGTCGCCCCATTGAAGACGAGACACCCCCGTGTGTGTCGCACGCTTCCCTCCTCCGCCTGGTGTCCACGATTTATTCCCAGCCGAATCCGTGAACAGGGTTACGCGTCCGTGAAGAACGCGAAACAAACAGACGATCCGTGTGGGTTACACGGGGAACAAACTGAACCTGGATGGTTGGTACACGATGACGGACCTCGGTTATCGACGATTAAACGGAACACCCGGGCGAATCGGAATAAATTGGTACCGATGAAAAATCGGAATATACGTGGAAAAAACGTCCGACTTGGTACTCCTGTATCACGGTAAACCGTTGCGTTTAATTCACCGCAATAAAGGGGGTGAAGCAGCCGGTGACTACGTCCGTTCACCGTTCCTGTTGCGTGCGCGGAGGGTGGTTGGTATCGTACTGAAGGCCCTCGCCACGATCCAACGGAGGCCCGGTGTGTGCGGTAGCTTGTCACGTGCCCGCGCTCTCTGCGTGTCAGAGGAGCGCCTCGACCAATCCCCGTCGTTCGTCAAACCTTGATTGGTCTCTCCGCCGGCGTGTAGGATTCTTCAACCCCGTTCCTTGCGTCTCCGTCGGGTCTGTGTGGTTCTGATGCTGCTGGGTGCTGGTGCTGCTGCTGGCTGGCGCTGCCGCCGCCGTTGCTTGCTCGTGTGGTGGTGTTGCCTGGCTGCTACCCGACGTGACAAGAGCCGACGAGAGGGGTGCGCGAGCGAGACAGGAAATCCACCGAGGGGTCACAGAGAGGGGATAGCACCGTCAGGGGGGCTAATGGAGAGATATTCGGGAGCCCCGAAGGTCCGATGGTGGGGCGTTGGATCTCTACTCCCTTCTCTCTTTCTCTCTCTCCCTCTCGGTTCTCTTCACTGCAACCTCCTGGCCCGCCAACGTCACCGTGAAGTAGTCTTCCGCTTGCCGTCTCTCGAGGGGGCAACGCGCGCACGCGCCCCCTTCCGCGGTACACCCTCGTGGCCTTCTAAAGAAGGAAGAAGAAAAGAGGAGGTGGTGGTCGGTTCCCCGCGAGAGGATTCGCGGCTATCCCGCGCGTTCTGCTCGATCTACGATCGCGGGCCCGTTCGATGATACCCTTCCGGATGGTAAACGTCGTGCCTCCGTTCCTTGCGCCTTCAGGTGACAACGTCGTATCTCGCGGCGGTAACTGTGTGCGAGTTGTCAGCGCGCAATCCTCCCTAGTTCATCGAGACACGGATTGGACGCGGTGATCCAGGCTCTTTTTGCGTGTGATGTCGCTCGATCCCCCCACGGTTCACTCGATCGAACCACTCGGATCTACCACTGGAAGATGAACACACGGACCACTTCCGGGAGCATCGTTGGTGCCCCGACCGAAACGGAGACAGAGTCTCTGGATGCTGGGAGGAACTAACAAGTCGGAAGCCCCCCGGTTCGAAGAAGGGTCGCGGCGCATAAGTCAACCGGCCGTGTCGCGGCTGACAGTTTTATGAGAGTTTGATAGTCCTACTACGCGCGGTGTTCACCGTCGACGGTGGCGCGCGAGAGCAGCCCAGAGAACGTGTTGTACGGTGACGGAGGAGATGGACCTCGTTGGTTGGCAGGATCGAAGAGCTTGGGTATGCGAGCGAGCGAGAGGGAAACACGCGCGCACTACGCACCGCACTCTTTATTGTCCCATAAATTCAAACCTGTTGCCCATAGCCCGAATGAGAGGGACGGCCCGTTGGGAAGGAGCGACGGAGATGGTGCAAAAAGGGGGTGAGAGTGAGTGAGAGAGAGAGAGAGAGAGAGAGAGAGCAAGCAATTGGAAAACGTGCACCGATAGATGGACTAGGAATCCTCTCCCAATCGCGCGGCCCGATTGACGCCCCCGTTATCGCACGTACGGCGAACCCGGACGCAACTCGTAACTCACTGAACCGACTGCGAGCCGGCCGAGAGAGGAGGCCTTCGGTGTTGGCGGCTACGAGGCGAGGCAGAAGCATGTGTGACGTAGTAGCCAGTTGGTCAAACGGGGGGGCACCGCGGGGTGGCGACGTGTTCGGAGGGGTTCCGGAGCGAAGGGGACGGCCGAGGAGGCGGAGCTCTCCTTTGGCTTCTCGCGGATAAACGCTTACGTTCGACTTCACTCGGGTTTTCCATGCATATTTTCCGGATTTCTCTCGATTACACGTGTACTCTATCATCTCGTCTCTTTTTTTTTTCTTTCCAACATTCTTCCGATACTCTTTGATACACAAAATATATTGTTAATTTGAACTCTCGGCAAATCGTTTCGCGATGCCGTATATCTCTCTGATGATTCTATGAGAACGCGAAATTTATCGCCTCTAGAGGACATGAAAGCTCGATTATTTCGTTAAAGAGAAGCAAGAAGGAAAGGCGAATAGTGTGCCGCTCACTCGCCAGATGTGGCAAGTGCGGTCGTTCCTGTTGAATTGTCGCGCGCGCCCGCCCCCGGCCGCCCCACCCCATCCTCAGCATGCCCCCCACTATCGCGCCGACGCGCCCCACCACCACCACAACCAAGCAACGGAACCGGCTATCTCTTCCACTTTAAGTTCTCTCGCGGTTCTGCTCGTGCACGCGGGGTATCCCCACCACCGCCGCTCTTCGGTATTCGCCACTTCGGAGCCCCGGTATTTGTCCTACACCTACCATCCTTCCTAGGCCTCTCTTTCCTCGTCGCAGCGGCGGCGTGCCCTGTGAGAACGCGCGCGCGCGTGGAGAGGGAGAGACAGAGAGAGAGAGAGAGAGGTTGACAAGTGATCGTGGATCAGACACGGTTCATCCTTGCCGCAAAACACCGACGAGTTGTCGGAAATGCGATGATCGTCTGGACGTTGGCGAATTCTTCATCGGGAACTTCCTTTTTATTCTTCTGTTGCCGATTTCGGGGGAATGTTTCTAACGTTTTGAGAAAAATTTTGGAAATCAGGATACTCGGTGGGGAGATTGGAAATGTCTTCTTTGGAGGGACTCTATTGTATGTTTTGGATCTACACTGATTGTTGAGGTTTAGTTGAAGCTGGATGATTTAGAGCAGGACCCGATTGGGGTGCTATGCTTATTCTTCGCAACGCTGAGAATAGATCTATTAGGAGGTATTCTGGCAGGGACTATTGTGTAGACCCTTATTATTGCAGTTCGGTCTCCAGGAAATTTTGGACCGTAGCTGAGGGGTTTGATTACCAACCAAGGGGTACGAAGTTACTGATATCTGCAAAATGCTTAAATTAAAATCATGTATCACCTTTGTCCATTTGTTCCTGAATCAAACGGAATTATACATAATCGTCCAAAGTTGGTCTGTGAAGACAAAACCGTTTTCGAACGATGTACCACAATTGCGTAAAATGCTCCAATACAGAAGACGGCTGGTAGAATATCTCTATTTACCAAACTAAAAAGTGCTTCACTAAATCATGTTCCTAATGACATATATGTCTTCAGCAATCCTAGATACTCCCTTGATCCTCTCGCGAATAATCCGAAAGACCCAGTTCATTTAAACTATACATCAAAAAAAGGTCCCGCACAATCCATCATTCCTTAATTTACAATCTCATCAAAAAGATCATTCAGGATTCGACGAGGATCGCGTAAAGTCCTTGGCTCCCACATAAAGAAGCACCGAGTATCCATCGGTGTTTCCAGCAAGATAACGAAGCCATCACGTCAGGACGTCGATGTATTTCAAACTGACGTAATGAAAGCCAAAGGCATCGAAGGGATCCGATGGAAGAAGTCGGGCACGCTCGGTGTATTTCGGTCTCACCCCCTCTTCGTTCCCTCCTGTTCGTCCCATTAGAATTTCTAATAAAGCCGTCGCAGGTGTAAAAAACGTATCGGGACCCCCATGAATCACGTGTCGCAAAGCAGAGCCGCCGGGACACGTGTATCTGTTATGCCATTCTCTCTCCGCGGCGGCCCCGGGAGAAAGACGCGCCCCGAGTTGCGTCCTCTTCGTCCCTCCGGTACGCTGCACCCCCATAATCTGGCGGGTCGTCGGACCGCGACGGTAGCCAGAGGGGAAGTGATTATTGCGGTGATACTGGGTTTTAACTGGCTGCGAATTACTGTTCGGATGTATGTACTTGTATCACTCGGAGGTAGGGTGAAATCGAGAGATTTATAAGAGGCAACTCCGCCCTGAGGGGAATCGGATGGCTTGAAAAAGGGGGTCCAGAAGGTTAACGACATGTCGTAGAAGTAAGAAAATGTGACCGGTTAACATATGTCGGCTAATCAACTCGGAGTAATTCGTTCCTTTTTTTTTCAACCCTCATCCGTTCCTTGTGTCAATTTGACACATTATTCTTGTAAGAAATTATGTTGTTCTGGTACGTGTAGGTGAATTAGGCTGAGGCTGCGTG